ACAATGTCTCCTCCACAGCTCTGGTCCTCCAATCAGTCTTTTATCCAATGTGACCAGAGAGATATTCCTAAAATGCAAATGAGACACTGACGCATTTTGAATGAGTCCTTCCTTGCAGCCATTTGATAAAGTTCAATCTCCCGAGGTTGATGTTTGATCTAGACCCCTGAGACATCAGCCTTACCAGCTGCCTTCCTTCTGATCACCAGGAATAGGGTTCCCAGACACGCCTTCCTCCCAGTGGGGGGGCACAGACAGGCTGGACGGTGGGGTGTGGGACTCATCCTGTCATTGGGAGAGATCATACCCCAACACATACCAAGTGTTACCTGCCAAGTGCACATGTGTGTACACATGTACACATGCACACACGTGCACATAATGCACGCACACTGACATTTTGCAATTTACTGACATTTACCTAGATGAGATTGTGAAGAATAACCTTCAAGTTCAGTTAAAAGCAGTTGTTGAATTTTGAGACTTTTTTTTTGCTAGTGTTTACTTTCCAAGAGCAGATGCAGAAAGTGGAGCATTGGTCAAGCGGAGGCCCGTGATGGATTCTGACTGGTAAGAGCCCCTCTCCTCTTCCACACTCTGCGAGCCCCTGTGGCGTGGCCTCCCGAGGCACTCGGGGTAGACCTTTGTCTGTCTCTCTCTGGGTCCTTTTTCCTTTTCCTTGGCAGGGCTGAGGTGGAACCCAGGGCCTTCTGCAGGCTCAGCATGCAGCCTGCCAGCCTCTGAACTCTGCTCTCCTAAGCACAACTTCAGAAATGCCTTCTCATTTCTTTCTCTGCTGCTTGGCTTCATGGCAAATGGGCGAGAGACCCTTTAGAATCTTAGTAAATGAACGAGTGAATAACTATGGGTCATGGAGAACTCTCTGTAGTGAGGTCATTTTGAGGACCTGCACGGCACAGAATGCTGGCCCCGCCCCCAGTGTCTGACGTCTGGGTCGGGAGAGGTCGGCGAGCACACCTCTGTGACCACTTCCAGGTCACACTTATGGCGCTCCTGATCGGGGCTGTGCTCCGAAAGCCACTGCTCGGCTGCACTGAGCCTGGATGGTTCTGTGTAGAAATAACCCCAGGCGCTGCTTTTGGGCAAGGGAGACACCTAGAGGGGGGTTTGAACTGCTTCTCAGTCCTGGGATGGCATGGCTGTCCCAGTGCCCACTTCTGTAGCCAAGCAGAGACAGCATCCTGAAAGCTGGCCCGGTTAGCTGAGGCGGCCGGAGACTCGGCCCTGGCCCTGTCCCCAGCGCTAGCATGGACGTCACGGCTGGATCACACAGATCCACTGCAGGCAGCGCTGTTCCGGGGAGGCGCATGAAGAGACACAGGTTCCTCCCGTCCCAGCCCTCCACAGCTACGCCCTGCACACGCAGGGGCAGTTCAGGAGGATGCCCGTGTCCTGCACAAAAGCTCTCCAAGCACTCGCACGCTCGCACTGGCCTCTGCGCACGCTTCGTCCTAAGGAGGAGACATCATCTGCGGTGGACAGCCAGCAACGCCCGCTTGCTTGGCCTTGCTTGTCCACCACAGCTGCCTTTCTTCCGCCCTCCCACCGAAGCCTACCGAGCTCACCTGCCAAGCTGCAGACCCTGTTCTGGAAGCTAAGCCCACAGCAGCAAGGGACAGAAAATGGGTTCCTCTTCTAACAGAGAGGCCTCCGTAGCCAGCCAAGCTACCCGCTGGCTGCCCATGACAACAGACCTCCCCCAGAGTAAGGAACTTCTTTGAATTCCCATACCCGTGGGCCAGCTGACCTGAGAGGCCCCGCTGCTGGGCGCCTCTGTGGGTGTTCCGGGGCGCTCATCTCTCCTCCAGAGACCAACAAGCACACCCTCAAATGCCCTCCCAAGCAGGCGTGGTGGCGGTCCGTGTGAGGCCGAGCTGACGCACAGAGCAGGCGCCACCCCTGCCTCCTCTCGAGGGCCACACAAGGCGCGGAGCAAACCCCAGGCCGGGGTGCAGGGCGCTGTGCGGGCGGAAGAGGCATCCAAGTCCCACGGGAGGCTGTGAAGAGCCGTGCAGAGGGCTCTGGTGAAGGGAGGCGCACTCCGCCAGCATTCCGGACGTGGGGAGATGTGTAGGGTAGAGTTTGCCTGGTGAGCGTTGTGGCACGAGCCGTAGGTGTTGCTTGGGCAGGGCCTGGCCTTGTTCCAGGACAGGCTGGCTGTGGAGGCCGCTAGGCGCGTCTGGTTGTCCTGTCTCACACTTCTGGCCCAAAAAGAATACATGTTTGGCCAAAGGACTTGAGAGGAGGTTTTGATCAACAGAGACAGTAGAAAAATCATTTCATTGCAATGATAAAAGGCTTCTGAAGAAGAAATCCATTTTTTGTTGGCGTGTCTTGTCATGTTTCTCCGGTAGCTCCCTGATAGGGGACTTTGGGCGGAGGACTGATCAACGTTAGCAAATAAATTACGATGCTGAGAGCCACTCTCTACCCATCCCCCTCGACCTCCCTGCCCACTAGACCAGCCGGTGTCACTGGGCTGCGTCCGAGGACACAGGGAGGTTCACACCCCCTCCAGAAGGACCCGCACGGCCTTGGGGCTGACACAAGACAGCAGAGCCAACGGCCACCAGCCGGGCGCCAGGGCTCAAGGCTGCTTCCTGCCTGTGGCTGATACGGAGAGGACGTTTCGGGGCGTGTGTGTGCAGGTGCTGGTGTGCACAGGTGTGTGTGTGTGTACACGTGTGTGGCTGAGTCTGTGGCACGCGGGAGTGTGTACCAGCCCGTGGCTGTGTGTACGGGCTGCGGTGATGAGTGTGCAGATCAGCAAAGGTAACATAAAAATTGTGCCTCCCCTGGCGGGGCTGCCGTGCTGAGGGTTTTTTTTGCAACTGTGGCGGACCGGAGAGAAGCCTCATGGAGCCAACACGGCTTTTACAGCAGTCTCTGGAGAGTTTCTGCATTGAGTCCCAGTCTCCTGACGAGAAACTGAGGCTTGAGGGGTAGAAGCCACTTCCTCAACGCAGTGGAGTCTCCAGACCCTAAGCTGCTTGCTGACACACGTCCTCCCAGCTCTCCCGAGGGGTCAGAGGTGAGCTTGGAGGCAGGAGCTTGGTGAGGTCACCTTCTCCCAGCCCTGACAAGCCCGGGGACAGGCCCTACAGGCTGGTCGGCCTGGAGTCGGGTGGGCTCGGCTGGGGCTTCCAGCGCTTGGTCAGTGCCCAGCTAGGTCCCACAGTGAGCAGCCTTCCCCCGGCACACGGACGTCCATAATCCTCCCCTGCCCTGCCCCGGCCTGCTCTGGGACGCGCCATGGGGTGCTTGTGCCTCACGTCCACCTCATTGTGCTACGTGGCCATCATGGTTGTCTCCCCAGTGGGGCTTGCTGGTCACCAGCTTCATTCCGCCCCAGTGGGCTTTCATCAGTGAGTTCCACACACAGGGACAATGTCTGTCACCTCGTCTATCAGTGGAGGTGTTCGCAGGGACAGACGGCCCTGGCCAGCTCTTGACGGTCTTCTGACCGAACAGCAGAAGGAATTTTACACTGATCGAGTGGCCCTTGTGTCAAGTGCTTCTCGCCACACTCATAAACTATACTTAAAATCAACTTACGGGTTCAATGTCTTTGTTGTCATTTTCTCAGTGGACAAATGGAGGCATAGGAGGCTCGAGTACCTGCCTGACTGGTGAGTATGCTTGAGGCTAGGTGCTGTCACTTCAGACTTGCTGCTGCTCCTTCTTGATTCAGTTTAACCGTCTGCCCCTTTAATACGCACTCCTCATGGTCGCTCTGCTCTGTGCCAGGTGGGAATCCAGCCCACACCCACTCAATCTCACAGGGCCCCAGTGCTCAGTGTCCTGTTAGAACAGACCTCACACAATACACTTATTCTCGTATTTTTGTGCCAGGGGAAGTTATGAGGGACAACATTATATACAGGATTCTGTAATAAAAACAAGAAGAGCAACAAGTGATGTCACTTGTCTGTTTCTCATATTGCCTTGGCCACCAGGAAGCTCATCTCAAAACCAGAGCAAAACACTTGTAATTAGGAGCTAAGGTTTTAGTTTTCTTGGACTTTTCCTTTGGCCCTGATTTTCCAATTTGGTGATGTAAAATGGCGTCTCCCCCCTCCTTTGGTAAAATAACCTATATCCTATTTGGAAGAAGGGTGCATCAAGAAAAAAAAATCATCATTTTTACTGCATAGGTTTACATTCCTATGGTCGAAAGCAGACCTAGATGGGCTTCCTACCCTAATTCCCAAAGAGCTCCACTTTAGAAATGTCTTGAGCATTGGCGACTGCAGTTCTGAGTCCCGGGGGGACAGCTCAGAGTTTCTGAAAGGTCACATACATGTGTGTGTGTGGGGGGGGTCCTGAGGTCACAGCCCCAGCTTGGGTTGCCAGATGCCCCCGGAGAGGCAGGGGGCCGGGCAGACTCTCACCTGAGCAGTTCATAAAGCCCGTGGCCCCTGACGGATGGTTTCCTGCAGGCCAGAATTGATCTGTCATCGTTGTGATTTGTGAGGTGGGCTTGGGCCATGGAGGGGAGGGGGGAGGGAAAGGAAAAGAGAGGAAAAAAAGAAAAACTAAATAAAGGGAGCCAGCCAGCGCGCCAGCCCGGCCAAGGCTTTCCCGGCGTGGGGAGGGCCGCAGGCCGGGTCGTTTTATTTGATTTATTGGGAATAAAGTGGATCTTATTAACATTTTAATCAGGAGAATCTGCTCTTGCTGCCCGGGTGCAATTCCCTGCCCGGGGAGAGTGGACGCGGCCGGCCCTGCCCGCGGGGTTAGTGAGCGAGCGGGGACCCCACCGGCCCGCAAAAGCGGGGTGCGCCCCCCCCTCGGCGAGGGCTCGCCGGCCCCGCGCGCAGAGCCATTGGAAGGAATCCGTCGCGCGAAGCCATTGGTCCTGGTCATCAGCCTCTGCCCAATGCTTTCCCGATGCTGCCGCTGATCCACTCGGGAAGTTGGCTGGCTGGCGAGGCGCGGCCGCCCCTCAAAGCCCGGCTCCCACGGAGAACATGCTCAGTGCAGCGGCGCGCGTGAGGCAGAGCGCCGCCGCCGCCGGCCGCGTCTAGTCGGCACCATGCAGCCGCCAGCGCCGCTGCTCCTGGCGGGCGCCCTGCTGTCCCAGGTAGGGAAGGGGCCGCCGGGGCCGGGGCGCGCGGGCCGGGGCGCACCGGGGGCCGGCCGGGCCGGGCACGGAGGTGACCCCGGCCCCGCGGGTCCGGGGAGGGGGGGCGGCCGCCCGCTCCCGCTGGCCTCGGGGGTCGCGGGCGTGCGCGCGCTCCGGGGCAGGAGGACGCCGCTGCGAGCCCCTCTCGCCAGCGGGGACCCCGTTCTCGTGGGGGGGGGAGGGAACTTCGGGGCGCCCCCTCCGCCTCCGGAGGCTCCCGCGCTGCGGGGAGACTCAGTCGGAGACCACGCGAGCCCCCGAGTCTCGGGGCCGGCTCGCGGGCTGCCCGGCGTGGAGAGGCCGGGCCCAGCCGAGCACCGCCGACTTCCCGGGGCGCCGGCCCCGCGCCGCAGCCCGGCTGCCGCTGTCGCTCACGGCGCCGGCGCCCGGCCGCGCCCGCACCCGGGGGCGCCCGCCTCCCAGACCCGGGCCCGCACCCGGGGGCGCCCGCCTCCCAGACCCGGGCCCGCACCCGGGGGCGCCCGCCTCCCAGACCCGGGCCCGCGCCCGGGGGCGCCCGCCTCCCACACCCGGGGCCGGCCCGCGCCCCACCGTCCGGCCCGAGCCCGGCGGCCGCCTCCGCCGCCTTCCCGGGGCGGGTGGCGCGGAGCGCGGGGAAAAGTTGAAGCCGGGCCCGCCCGGCTGCGGCTGCCCGTGAGCCCTCCCGCCGCGGCGGCCACCGGAGCGGTCCCCGCCGCGGCCACGGACCGAAGTTTGTGCGCGGAGAGGCGGCGCGGGGCCCGGCCGGAGGCTCGGGGCGCGGAGGGGCACGCCCAGCCCGCCCGGCGCGCTGAGCCGCCGCCAGCGGCTGGACGCGGACGCGGACGCGGGCCGGGGCGGCGGGGAGGAGGGGGAGGAGCGGGGAGGGGCCCGCGCCCCGGGGAGGACGGGCGTGGAGTTGGGCGCACGAGGAAGAGGTGCGTGTGCGAGTTGGGGATGAGAGCAGCGGAGTCCGGGCCCCGGTCCCGAGCCCGCCACGTCCCCGAACGTGAGCCAGCAGCACCCCGGAAAGGCCCCGACCCGGGCGGGCGGCGTCGGGTGCGGGCGGCCGAGGCCCGGCCCAGGACTCCCGGATGGTCTCGGGCCCTCCCGGGACGCGGAGCCAGCGCCGCCGTCACCCGCGCTGCCCGCGACGAGGCGCCGCGCCTGCCCCAGATGGCGAGGCCGGCGTGGACAGCCCCGCCGCGCCCCGCCGCCCCACGCGGGCGGCTCAGCCTCGGGCGCCCTCGGCCTGGGCGCGTTCCCCGGCCGCCCGGGGGGCCCGGGGGGCCTGGCGTCGCGGCCCTGACTCTCTTACGGCCCCTTTTCTGTAGGTCCCCGGCTCTCTTGGTGTCTTTCCACCTCTGTTCCCATCCCAGGCCTGCCCACAGTTGTCCCCCCTGGGGCGGCGCCTCCGCAGGTGTGAAGCCAGGCGCGAATGGCCTGTCCGGAGGACGCTAGTTCCCTCGCGGCCCCACGGGCGTGATCAGGGCGGCTCCCACCTCGGGGCAGGCGCAGCGGGCCCGCGGGGGCGCCGTCGCCCTGGTCCGGGGGAGCTCCCCTCCGGCCCGAGTCCATGTGCTGCTCCGGGCCGGGCCCAGGAGCCAGGGACCGAACCCCGGAGCCTGGCGGTCAACAGCAAAGCCGAAACTTTCCTGAGGCAGGGAACGCACAGGAAGGGGAACGCAGTGCAGTCAAGCGAAGGAGTCACTGCCCGGTGGTGCCCGGGCCGGCCTGGGCGCGTCTCCCACTGCGGTGGAGAGGCCTGCGCCCGGCTGCGAGCTCATGGACGAAGTTGGCTTTTTGGCATTCTGCAGGACCTTAGGAATTTTAACAGCCCGAGCCGGAAGCTGGCCAAGAGGAACCCTAGGCACCTCTCCTCTCCGCTGGAGTATTTTGGGAAAGACGATTCCAGAAGTGGCTTCTGAAATTTGGCTACGGTAGTGGATGGGAAACAAATTAAGAGAGGCACGAGCTAGAAAATCCACTGTAAATAGGGTTCTCTGCCCCGCAGCGGGAGCACTGAGGACTAGCCCCGAGCTTCTAACACCGCGTGAGTCATCCTCCAGGAATTAGGATTTTAGGGAGTGGTTCAGGTCTGGAGAGCCTCACAGTCAGCCGTGGAAATACTGAGATCTGCCTGGGAAGAGCTGACTTCAGAACCTTGATTTTTAGGATTGTGTGAGATCTCGTATCTGCTATCCATGTGAGTTTTAAGAGCAGTGGTTTTTTATTTCCTGAGCCTTTTTGATCAGAGGGGAGACGCGGGAGGGGTAGAGGATGCTCCAGTACCATGTGGCAATTTATAACCTTCCAGAAGTCTGGGGGAAACAGAGATGTAAGTGGTGAGAGGAATCAAAGTGATAGAGGCCACATGACTGAACATATTTATTTATTACCTCCCCAAAGTGGCTTAGTAGACTGTGATCTGGCTTTCTGCAGCTCCACGGTCTGTTCTACTGAAAGCCTCAAAAGTTCTCTTGGCCATTCTCTCCTGTTCTTCCTCCTTCCCCTTTCCTATCTTTAGCCCTTGGTTTTTCTCCTAATAAAACCTATTTCCTCCAGAAAGTATCCTCTGTGTGTTACAGAAAAATAGCCCAAACCAACATGCCCAGTGACTGCATGATGTGGAGGAACTGGCATTTGGGTGGATAAACAGCTCCTCTACCTGAGGCTGACTCTCAGGTGAAAGTATAGCTAGGTGCTTGAAAACATCTCCCTTTCTTTTCCTCCCCAAATACTGTTGCTTGGGGAGTCCAGATAATTTCTCCCTTTTGGAAGGTAAGGAAAGACAAATTATGGATCTGATTCCTATTTGAATGGTAGTCACATCATGTAAATATCCTGAATACTCCCCCACGGTGCTCCTGGACATGGGCAGGGGCACGTGCTTGGCGCACTGTGTTTTGGTCTTGTTTCCATACCTGTTGAAAAGTTTCTCCAGAAGAGGGCTCCATCCACAGCATTACGAAATTCTGAATCTCCAGCTCGTATTTTTAGAGAACTTCAGTGGAGCGGCTCCATCAAAACAGAACCATTCTCCGTATTCCAGGTTATTTGCTACATGCTCCCCCAAAGGAGAAATCCTGTCATTGGTTTTTTTAATTTTTTTTTTCCCTGAGAGTATCTTTCCTTCTTTCTCTTTTTCCTTCACCCTCCTCGTTCTGGTTCTGTTCTCATTTATTCTTCAACTCTGCAAGCCCTCAAACATATTAGAGCAAGAAAAATTTCCAAGGCTCTAGTACACAATACAGTGTGGAATGCAGGGGAGCTCTGAGATCTCCTGGCATTGGACTTCAGTTGGACTGGCCTTTCTTCTTTAGGCAGCCACAGGGCAGGAACCATTCTGCTTATGAAAAGAGGTAATCTTCCCAATTAGTTATCTACCCGGAAGAGAGAAGCAGGCGCCAGTGCCTCCTCGCTCCAACACCAGTTGAAAAGGAGAGGCAAGCATCCATCTGTCATCCAATTATAATAATCGGCTGGGCAGAATCAAATCAAGTGACCAGTGGTTTGGACATTGCTTCCATTTAGCTGTCAGCAAGGTGTCCACATGCCTGCGTGAATCTGGCCCTCTGAAGGGACGCTGCCAGTTCCGCTCCCTGCGGCCGGTCTGCTCTGCGGCCACAGCGTCTGGCTGGGCCACAGCATCCCGTGCACCCTGACAGGCCCCTGTGGTCGCCATGTCCTTGGTCTAGGGGGGAAGTCATCTCTCACCCCAGAGGCAGAGGCCAGGGAGAGAAGAGATGACATTTCAGACTGGGAGTGTGCATCTAGCCAGGGTTGGTGGAAAAGGACGGACTGCCCTTTGGCTTAGCAGGCTGGATCACAGGTTGTCAGTTTGGTGTTCTCTGTTTCAGCACAGCAGCTCTGCTTCGCAGAGAGTTTGCAAAGCGGCAGCCGCTGGCCAATGTTAGCCCATGGAACAACTTTTTTGGCCTAAAGCTTTTGAAAAGTATAAGAAATTAAACATTAAAAAACAACCGAGGTTTCTCATGTTTCTTAAGAAAAAAAAAATCAAGAGGTCTGACAGAAGGCCTGCATTCCCACCTGGTCCTACTTGGTTGGAGCTGAACTAACACTCCCCTCACCCCAGCATTAGACTTACGTGTATTATCATAGCCTCCACCACTGCCCACCACACCCATCCCACTGGACTCCCCGATTTTACCACTGTGCCCCTATAGCCACATGACTTTGGGTCTCTTTATAAATTGCCAGCCCTGGTCAGATGGGCTCAGGGAATTCCTCAGTGGTGGCAGCGGGAAGGACAGGCTAGCTTCTTTCTGATGCCTGTGGTACAAACACACTGCGTTGGAGGAGCAGCGTGACCAGGGGCTGTGACACTGCGGGAGATCTGTACCCTCAGTACTGTGGGGAACCGCTCGCAGCTTGTCGCTTCGTGTGCAGTAATTACATCCAGACGAGTAACACTGCAGCTCTGGGCCCTGGACTATCAGATTACCTAAAGGCCATCATGTATCAGCAGCTCAGACACTCCAGGCCCTCCCACCCTGCACGTCGGTAGTGCTCGGCCACGAGCCATCACTGCCGGTGGAGTACCATGCATCTGGCGCTGTCATCGCAAGGGTAGCTCACTCACTGGGTAACCGTCATCACATAGTGTGGTGACTCCCCGTGCTTGGCCTTTCAAGGGCTGCTGCGGCACTGAGCTAGCAGTCAGCCTTTGTAACTCCATGGGGAAGTTTCGTGATGGCACGGTCCCAGGGCATCTTATGCCTGGGTACTGTCACCTGCGCTGCTGTCCTGGAGCTCGGACCATATTATATATGTTATACATAACGATTAACACCCACTGTGGTTCTATATCCAGTGTTAAGACTACCATGGATGTTCTTAGCCCTGGAAGTGCGCTGCACGAATCTGGCTGCCTCCTCCCCCAGCAGCAGGTGAGACCCAGCAGACCCATGTGTTCCACAGCTACAGACCCTGAGGGTCTGGGGAAATAGAACCACAGA